GCAACGTGAAAATATCACAATATCGTTTTTTTTTTTTTTTTTTTTTTGTCTACGAAATGGCCATTTCCACGTCCGACGCGTAACTCCTGATTGTGCGTGACATCGATAATACCGCGGCCGATTACAGACGGCGGATATCGCCGACCGCTCGGTATTGCGCCGAGGTTATATTATTTGCGTACTGTTAACACACGGAAAATACAACCAAATAAACGAAACAAATACAACACTTAAATAATAACAATAATAAAAAAAAAAAAGAATCGCATCATAACTCGGGAAAATATTCGTTATTTCGGTTCAGCCGTTCCGTATCAAATATATTTCGTGTATAAAGTTTAGGTCTTTTTAGGTCTTTTTTTCGCGTCAGCTGTAAGCAAATAGTTTTTGTTATTGGAGTATCCACCTAATAATGGATATTTTACGGCCGTTGCAAAACCACTCAACAATGCCCAACTTAACCGAACCTACCGCGAAGAAACGATAGCCGTAGATGTACAGATAATATAAACCGTGCAAATGTGCAAATATGCAAATATATAAATGTATCTGTGTTTCGATTTCTATACTACCACAGATGATACACGCGTATCACACGTGTTTACTACCGTCATTATCAATGTTACGACCGACCACCGGGGGCAGGAGTTTCGTATCGGACGTGAAAACATATACAGTTCGCGTCGAACGTGGAAATAGCCACTGCTTTTTTTTATTGTTATCATAATTGTTGTTCTCCGTTATTTTCCTCGCGTAAAAACGCCCGTACGACGGCTGTATAATCTATGACCGCCGTTGCGTTTTACGCGGACGCGGATGTTGCCTGCGTACGTGTTGATTTTTACACAAACTGGTAATGACGGTCTATTTGATTCGATTTAATTTTTACTGTTTTCTCTACGTTCAATATGTTATCTAAATCCTTTATCGTTATTGATATCATTATTGTTATTATTATTAGTACTCGGATTTCACCATTAAGAGGTTATCCTCCGCGCAGTGGTGAGTTGTTCCGTTACACCCGCTATCCCTCTGTTGTAATCATTATACTTAAACGTGTCTACAAACGGCCGGTAAACTATTTATATCGTTATTGTTATTTCTGTCAACGGGGTTATTCACCAGATGAACGTTACAACTCATTGGCGGGAAACGGATTTATACGCGCTTGAAATCCACGAAAAACCGCTTGAAAACGTCAAAATGAATTCTGAAAAAAAATCGCTTAAAACATATTTAAAAGGGAAATAATGGTATAAGGGTTAAAAAGCCACCCCTCTCTTTTATCGTCCCAACTTATTAAAAATATTTTTTTAACATTACAAAAATCAACCGTCACAAAGTAATTTTCGTTTATTCGTTGTAAGTATACGCATACGGAACTGTAGTCGATGCGACGGATTCCTAACTCGTTTAAGTTTCGTCTATAGATCAGCGTTTCTCGACCTGAGGGACCCGACCACTTTGGAGGTCGCCAGCTAATTATTTAGGATCGCCACATATAAAGTATATAATCAGTGGTCGCCGAAAAATTTAAAATTAATTTATGGCGCCGTGACGGTAGAATGACTGAGAAACACCGATCGAGATGACGTTCACCATATCCGGTGCACGCTTGGTTCTGTAACGGGTTGGTCGCGGTAGTTTTTTTTTTTATCTAGTCCGCCGAATAATTATCTTCGCGATTAGGTGTCGTTATATTGTCGAACACCGTTTGGCTCTATCCGGGGATACTTCATAGGTTATCTTAACGTAAAAAAAAAAAATTGTTTTTTTTTTTTTTTTAGAAGCCCACATTTATTAAATTCGACAACGGTATCCGTTAAAAGTGCCGCGCCGTGACGACTGTCGATCGTAATGCGCCGCCGCGGGCGTTCGGACAAGCGCGCGCACGTTTCCCGATGCTTTCACCAGAAACGAAACAATAACTAAACGTACGCTTACGTAAGGTAATATTGCGCGCGTGTATTGTGCGAGGGCGTACACCCGATATTCGTATACTTGGAAACGATGCAGTGCGCGACTTGTCGGAAACGCGCGCTTTTGAAACTTTTAGAGAAGACTGCGCGTAAAACGTTTGTAGAATTCAATATCGATTCAATACCGGCGAAATCGCGTTGATCCGGTCTGGGTCTGGGTCCCGCGCGTAATATCGCGCGACTCCGGGACACCGCGCGACGCGCAACGCGCGCGGGAAAAACGATTTCTGTACGGCGTTCGCCCGTTCGGCAGCAATCGGAAGCGGAGCCCGGAACGCGACGGTGTTAGGTTACGCGGAGATAGAAGAGCGGCCCGCGCGACCGGTAACCGCGGCGATAACAACGTTGCGCTACGCCGGCGCGCCGCGACGGTTATTCGTTGAACGTTCCGAAACCGGCCCGTGTTCCGTGCCGCGGCAATCACGTCCGTTCGAATCGCCGTGGCCTTCGCGCGCGCGCGTCGCGGTCGCCGACGTTCAAACGCGCGTTGTGTTCGTCACGGAACCCGTTAACCCGACGTCGTTTAACGCCGGTGTTATTACGCGTGCCGACCAACGGACGGTCGATTTCCGGCGCGCGCGAAACGGAACGCGTTTGTGACGAAAATTGCAAACCCAACCGAAAACGCGGCGATAAATCGCGTTGCGGGCGGCTCGGCGACCGGTTCGGATGCGTCCGGAACGGTACCGCCGTTCCGACTGCTCGCCGTCGTGATTATCAGAATTTATAAGCGATTCGGTTCCGACCGAGCGCGTTGAAAAAAAAAACAAAAAAAAAACCGAACGCGAAAAACGACGCGTTATTCCGGCGGGCCGGCCGGGACCGTTTTCCACGAAACGACCGAGCGGCGGCGCCCCCGGACGGCCGCGGGCGGTGTCCGTCGCGCGCGGTGTCCGGTCGGACGATTGCGCGCCGTCGTGGGATCACCGCGTGCGCCCCCGGACGCGATAATACGCGCGGCGGCGGCGGCGGTCGGAGTGCTCGCGGGTTCGGAATCAAACCGCCGCCCCCCCGCGTCTGTTGCTCGCGCGCGCGGTTCGGCCGCGTTCGTAGAAAATTCGCCGCTTTTATAAATAGCAGTTAGTTACGCGCTATAATAATATAATACACTAGCTGTTGCTGCGCCACTGTTGCTCGGGCCGGCGGCGGCGGCGGCGGCGCGCGCGGAGGTAGTGGCGGCGGCGGATCCGTTTTGATGGGCGCAATTCTTCTTCGCCAGATGCTTATCCGTTATATTGTAAAAACCCCTGACGGCTTGACAGACAGTGAAATATGAGGCTCGGGGATTTTGTCGGCCGTTCTTTTTGTGCGTGCGCGCGCCCGAGACGTTCCGCGCCGTCGAACCCTGCCGCTTCCTTTTCGCGTCCGCGGCGGGAAAACGCTACGCTCGACTCCCCCCACCCCCCNCCCCCCCCCCCCCCCCCGATCCCCCTTCTTTCGTCCCCTCTCCCACACCCACACCTCCCACCCCCAGCCCGCCGCCGCCGGGAGTCCTTGTCGCCCTACCCGTACGCCGCTCGGTCGTCACTTCCAAAATAACACCCCGTTATATATATATACGTATACGTATTATACGCTGTCTTGCCGCCGCCGCCCCCCCCCCCACACACACACACACACACTCACCTATTTCTCCGACGACTCCCCCCCGCGGCTTATTCGTACCAAAAATCCGTCTTCTCGTTCTTCTTCTTCGCCTTCTTCTTCTTCTACTTCCACAGAGACGAAACCTTCGCCGCCCCCTCCCGCTAGCCCGTTCGCCGCCGCAGCCGGTCCCGAATACTTACAGTCGGTCCATTATTTATCTCGTTCTTCCGCCGCCGCCGCCGACCCCATCCCCGCCGTCTCCGCCAGTCGCAACCCGCGCGGCCGCCGTCAGCCCACTGTGTTCGGTTCTCGCCAGAAAATACGGCCATTTGTTTGGGAGCTCGGGAGGTTACGGCTGACGCGCTCGCACAATGCCGCCGTTGCGCTTTTCTTACCCGAAACAAACGAATGCTATTAATATTGTGTGTTTTTGAAACGTTTCGTTTACCCGAAAAACTGACGCTCTCGCGAGAATCCGCCGCCGCCGCACCGTGATTGATGGACGCCGCGCCGCGCCGCCGCCGCCGCCTCGTCCGCGACGAGCACAATCGGTAACATCGTCGTCGACATCATCTTTTCCGCCGCCTCCGCCGCTACGACGCGCGGTGTGCGACTCGTTCGGCCGCCGGGAGTCGTCGCGTTGTCGGTCCCCCCGAACCGCCGGGCTCGTAAACTATTATCTGTCGTTTACCCCTCCTCCCATTTCCCCCCGCCCACATGAGTACGTTACCGATGTTTTTTGTCGCGCTGAAATTCGATCGTTATTATTTTGAT